AAAGTCCTTCTTTGGGAATCAGCAGGTGGTGTCAGGTGTTGGAGTGGAGATCCCATGGGCCTCAGCTCTACTTGGGTTTTTATTGATGAACTTGCACCCCTTCTCCCCCTTGGGTGTCTTGACATTAGTATGCTTGTCACCTATAGCACCTTTGGCAAGACCCTCATGCATTCAGTATCTTTTGTCACTGCTTAGGTATTCCAGTCTCCCACCTTTTACAGGTTCTGCTTCATAATGGAAATGTAGTTCTCTGCTTTCTTTTGGTCACACCAGCCCAAGCAGTCTGGGACCCTCTCCCATTCCCTTAGCTCAATTTCCAGCACATACATGGGATGATTGTGCTAGGTCTTTGCCAACACCTCCTACCTCTCAGTCTGGTCCTGCAGGGCTTGGCTCTGTGCTCACAGGTGGCAGGCAGCCAGCCCCTCCAACTCTGGTTCCTTGGCCTCTTCGACCTTCCCCATGGTCTGGGGGAGCTAAGGAGAATCATGCCCCCTTCCCTTCTCCCTCCCCTTATCAACTGCTTGCCTGCCTCAGTCTCTGCCAGCGGTGGGAAGAGATGAAGTCTGCTGGTTTCCTGCCAGCACTGTGCCTGCTGGGGAAGGGGAGATTAAAGCCCTTCCCAAACCCCAGTCTCCAGCTGGGGTTTGCCTGGGGGGCAGTCCCTCCCAGGCTGTTGCCCCCACCCCCACACCCCATTCCCTGCTCTAGTGGAGAGCAGAGGGTGTGGCCAGCACACTGAGCTGGAGAAGGGGGGATTAAAGCCCCTCCCAGACCCTAGCTGTGGTTTGCCTGGGGGGGCAGTCCCACTCAGGCTTTTGCTCCTTCCCCCCCGCCGTGCCTCTCCCTACACTCCCGTCCCCTCCACTTCAGCAGGGAGAAGTCTGGCAGGGGCTGCTTCCTGCCCCCTGCCCCCAGGCAGACCCAGCTGCGGTCCCCAGCTGGGTCCCTTGTCAGCCAGCCCTCACTACTCCAGCTAGGGAGCAGAGAGGCGGAGCCAACCCTGCTCTCTGGAGCAGACAGTATAGCCCATCCCAGGGCTGAAAAGCATGCTGGGGGACAGTGATTTAACTTGAACCAGGAAGGGGTCTGGGACAGAAGTTTCATAAACCGGATTGACCTAAATCAGCTAAGTCTGATACTACAGTCAACCAGGTTTATTTCAAACCAGTTACAGCCATTTTGAAACTGGCTTATGTGCACTGAGCTGTTCTGTTATGGGGTTAAACCAGTTTCTGATCACTTAAACCGGTTTATGTGCAACTTCTGTCCGTAGCCCAACAGTCACTCGTGTCAGACTCCTGTCATGTCTGGTGCAGTCAGCATTGAGGGTGGAATAGTACTGGTCATTTCAGGCTCCCTCTGTTTGGATGTTTTTTGTGCACTGTCAGGATACCATTGGTGATACTATAATACTACTAGTAGTACTTTTAATGACCTTATTAGTTGTAATTAAGAGAGTACAGGCCCTCATTCTTAGTAAGAAAGATTCTTTGGGGCTTATTGGTCCCAAACAACCAGACACTAGCAGTATACATCAGGCATGGTGCCAGTGAGGTTTATTTGCAAGCCTAGAAACTGGCATGAAATATACCCATATTGGCCCAAAGTATTCAGGGTTTCTAGGTCTCTTTTATAGATTGATCAAAACAATCTTATGTTTACAGCATATGCATTCGAATCCTTACCAGTCACTAAATGTTTTTAGGTTACATCCTTCACTCACATCCAGTTTTCACTGGACATTGTGACCTTCCCGCTGGAGAGGGGGGTCTGTTTACGAGGACACTCTAAGCTCTATTCTGGTGTTTTGTTCCCAGCTTATCTCCTCATTTCCATTTGTTGGTCATCTGATATGCCTAAAAGTTAATATTCCTAACTTTTCCAGCATTTTTGTTTAGGCCATGTACGGTCTGCTTTCCAGACACCAAGGTCTATAGCTCAAGCTGTTACTGAGGACTACTTTGGTTCATGCAGCTAACAGGCCTGTTTGATTTCTGTATGCATTGATCAATGGCTGCACCAGTCCGTGCTCCAGCAAGACATACAGTATTTTTAAACTTAAATTCAAGGGTTTGTTCCAGGCCCTCCCTGCTAAATCCAGTGTTAGCTTTGTTGTTGTCATTTGGGAAATCAAGACTTTACCTCAACAGTGATTGAGCCATTAAGCAATGGGTCGAGTTTAGGAACTTAGATTATAATGCTAATTTCCCAGTTAATTTTGTATTAAATTCCATGGCTGATATTTTGCTTGAGTCACTTAATTTGTAAAGTATTTAATTCAGTCCTACCTCTTTCTCTCATATTCTGTTATATTTTTATATCTGATCATGGACACTGCTTTCATATCATGATATTTCCTGTGGGCCTCCATTATCTTGAATGTAGTAATGATTGTCAGTACTTACATCCTTCAAAAATCTACCATAATTAGTGTCTCTTTCTACAGTCATATATGCAGCAGTTGCATTACATGCATTATGCAATAAAGATAAATATATATATAAATATTTGTTATTTCCCATAGTTTTATTCAGTGTACCTCAGAAGTAAGATAATTTAATTGCAGTATATGCACAGAGAGAACTGGAGTAGAAACTCTTCACTTGCTACTTTGTGCAATTATGTACACAGTAATTTCTCACTTTTCTACTCTTCCTCTCTTTCCTTAACCCCTGCTGCTGTGTATCTACCACAGTATCAGAGCATAATGGAAATAGGTGAAAAATCACCCTGCAGGTTTAAATTAATTGCACTTCCCTGTTACGCTACAAGCTAGTGAGTGCCTTAGATAATATGCTTTGAATTTTCTTCAGTTTAACCATAATTGGAGTGGGAAGGCACTTTAGTTCTTGGTACAGTAATTTACTAAACTTTTTATAAGACTAGAATAACAAAGATGTTCAGCATTGCAGTATTTCATCTGAGCACCACTCATGTAAATGCTAAGTAAATGTAATAGTGTTTTTAGCAGGAAATCCTCTTGGCAAATGTTTTTACTGTTTTAAGGTATGCATCATATACGTGCATATTTTAGTTTTATAAGATATATTTGTTGAGGAACGTACTTTTACTGCTAAAGTATTAAAAGCCTATCACTTATTACTTTAGGCAGGAAGTCTCAGAGTTAAGGTTTTCTTCCCAATATTCTAATCTGAAAAGCAAATGAAAATAAAAACAATACATAAAGCTAACATAAATATAGTGAGATTATTTGTTCCCACAGATACAGTATAGCAAAATGATTCTAGTTTGTAGGGTAACTGTAAAGATGGTGGCTTGTTCTATACTTATTCTCTCAGAGTTATGTCTCCTTTCTTTGCTCACTAAAATATTTTCCTACTTCAGGGCTGGCTAACGTATGGTAGGGAGCAGGCATCACAGTGGCAGAGGGCAAAAAGCATTGCAGCCAATCAGGCAGGGATCACAAGGCAAGGACCAGAAAGCAGAGCAGCAGTTTGGGAAAAGGGATCAGAGTGGTGCTTGGTGCGGGCAAGGGCTAGTTTGTGGCATACCTGCCAAAAAAGTTTGTCCCTATTGTCCTACAGTTTACTCCCCTTAGTACTCCAGTGCCAACATGGGAGTTGTTCTAATAAATGTATTACCTACTAAATTGATAACTATATTCCAAGACCTGAATTAATATTGTTGGCAATTCCTAAACGAGCCAGCTAGTCTTTATTTTTATATCTGGGGCATGCTTTGCTTACCCTTTAAAGAGAAATGCAATATCTGTCCCTCCCACTTTTCTAAGAATTCTGCACTGGCCAACTACAGTCCTGTAGAGGAAGAATGGGCAGTAACTGATTGAGGCAGTATTTACACACAGACTTTTGAAGAAAAGTGTAATGTGTGGAGATAAAGAAAGAAGCCATCACTATACTTGCAGTGTATTCAGTTACATTTATGCACCTTGTAAAAAGAGGATTTTCATGCGACTGTCAACATTTTTAGCTATATAAATGTATATCACAGAAAACTCAGTTAACTAGTATAAAATATTAACCTCTGAAATACGGTATCAGAAAACTAAGATTGCCAAGAATGTTTTCATGATAAAGAAACATTAGGTCTGTTTTTCATGTGCATTTAAAACCTGTTTGTACCACTTTAGAAGTATATAATGGCCTCAAAGTGGGTATAAAAATTGTAGCGGTTGAGTGGTAGGCCGGGAAACGGCAGGTGGGTAGTTTCCCGCGATGGAGCAGAATTAGGCACAGAAGCGTATCTATTAAACCAAGATTACTTTACTTACACTGTCAATGGACACAGCGTAGGCGAAGAGTTAACTTCAGTTACAGTTGCAAACCGAACGAGAGCTCTAGAAACCGAGGTGAGATGTCTGAGGACAAGTCAATGAGCATGCAGGACACGGAGTGCAACAATTCAACGAGCATGCAGGACACGGGGTACGTCGGGAAAGTCGATGGCGAGGAGTCATTGGTGGGTGATCAGTCTGCCAAGTTCACTCCGAGATGGGCGCGGAGTTCTCCGACTTGGGCGGAAACTGCTCTAACTTTTATACGGCTAAAGAAACAACTGCTAGTCGCCACATAGGAATAATTTAGACCCAGCCAATAATGGTGTGCGTATTTACATAAGGATGGCGGGAACTTTTCTGCATCGGGGTTCTCCACCGTAGCGGAAAATTTCACCGTGCTGAAAAGCTTCATTGTGCTAGAAAATTCCACTGTGCCGAGGCACTTAACTACTGAGTTCTGACAAAAATAAGCATTGTTTCTGGTATAAAGTGACTTCACTGTAAATGAGTTACACCCACAAAGTCTGTTGTTTATAGTTTTTTTACTGTGTCTCTTCCCTCCCCACTCCCCATTCCTACCTTTGTGCCTTTCAGTATTTAGCTCATAATAGGGAAGATTAGGAGTAATGCTAACTAGCAATTACTGCTACTAGTTAAAATGTGTTCATATACTTTTTTTTTTTTTTTTTTTTTTACTATAATTAAACCAAAAGTTTAAATGTCATTATTTTTGTTACAGAACGATTTACCCAGTATGGTCCTAAAAACCTTAGACAAGCATGGAATAAGTAAGTAAAATTTTTCTATACAGTGTTTGACTCTTCAGCCTGGAATTACTGTAGTTAACTTATGTTGCCCTTTGTTCTTTTCATTCCTATAGTAATATGGAATCATTACAGAATTACCTACTCCTGTGTTTATCAGCTCTGAACTTTCTTTACATGATTTCTTTTCAGCTGGAAAAAAATATTTTTCCTCCTCACCAAAGCAAATGTCATTTGTATGCATGTCACTTTTTAAATCAAACAGCTTTGGGAAATACCAAATGTTAAGATTAAACTTGATTTTTATTTATTTACAACATTGTGGGCATTTAGCATGCTAAATATATTTTTATGCTAGAAGTACACATATAGGTCTTTGGACCATTCACTACAATTTGTGTATGTCTATCTCTTGTCCTAAAGTCATGATTTAAAAGATAGGTGATACTGGGTTCCTCAATTTTTGGATATCCATTTTAGGTTGTCTTTAAATGACCTTATATTTAGAAAATGCTGAATAATGCTCACTTTGAAATCAACTACAGGCAGTCCTCAGACTTACAACACAATTGGTTCTTGAAAACCACATCCTAAGTCAAAACGTTGTAACTTGGAACCAATTTTCTCTTAAGAAACAATGTTATAAATTGGGGATTGGTTCCTGAACCAAGGCCTGATACCCTATTTTTGCTAAAAAATAACCCAGAAGTTTGTACTCAATCAATTATAGATGAGTAATATAGCTACATTAATGTATTTATATTGTAAATAGCAATCATATTGATTTAGAAGGACTTCTTTGAGGTGACTTTGCTGGACTTTTTGAAAGACTCTTGGTTGGACTTTTTGAAGGGTTCCTGGCTGGAGTCTTCTCAGGAGTCTTGGCTGCAGGTTTTTCTGGAGTCTTGTCTGCTTTCTTAAAGAAAGTGTCCAAGGAAGTTTGGACAGATGTTCTCCAGGGAAATGAGCAATGCAGCAAACTTGTTTGCTGGTGTGACATCACATCGTATCAAGCATTGTAGAGGTGAAACTGACGTCATGAAGTTGAATCATTGTGTCAATTTATAAATGTTGTAAGTGTGAAACGTTGTAAGTCAAGGACTGCCTGTGCTTTAAACTAGCTGTAGTCAGCATCCAAAGTCATTATTAACTTTGGAACTCTCTGGCCTATGAAATTTGTCTTCTAGAGCATAAATAATTTGATAGTGATGTTAGTTGAGGCATCCATGAACTGGATTTCCCTTTCTGTAAACAGGAAAGCCTGCTAGCAGTGTACTCATTGTGGAGATGGCCGTTTTTTTTGCAGATACAGTCATTACAGAAGAAGTATCATGATCATCACTTTGAACTATCAACTTTGTTCATATTTTCTTTCATTCACTTCCAGGCAAGCAGAAGCAGGGGGCAAGGCTAGGGAGGGGAGGAGGGGAAGGAAAAAAGGTCAGGCAAATTGACTCCCCTACCATCTATCCCCCTGCCACTGCTTGCCCTGCTGTAGCAATGGAGGAACAAATTTAAGACCCTCCAATGTTTAGATTCTATACATGAAAAATAATAAAAATTTATAAATTTTCCATGTATAGAATCTGATTATTAGAGGGTTCTCTTAAATTCAGAATCATCTTGGATTCGGGTAAATACAGTGCTTCTTATCAGAAATGAATTATCAACATATATTTACTGCAGTCTGATACCAGTGTAATAGTCTTGTGCACAGAGTATAGAATGGCGTCAATACCTTCTGTACTCTGAAATGAAATTAATAAAACCTAGAATTGGTGGGTGGGAAAAGATGTTTTCCAGATGCTTGCATTTGTGAGGCAAATAAGTTTTCAGGGGAGACTTAGGTTCTTTTGAATGTGCTTTGGTTTATTCTGGACACACTTTTTTTGTAACAGAATCAAAACTACCAGACAACTGGCATCCATACAAAGCTACCATTTTGTTGGACTCAATTGGCATTCTTTTGCAGATAATTTTACCAGAGAGACCAAGGGCTAAGTGAACAGAAGACTGAATTATTTACCAGGTACATCTGTAGCAAATCAAGGATTCTTAGATGTTAGGGTCAGAAGGGACCTCAGTAGGTCAATGAGTCCAACCCCCTGCCCTGGGCAGGAAAGAGCGCTGGGGTCAGATGACCCCAACTAGGTGCTTGTTCAGTTTCCTCTTGAAGACCCTTAAGGTTGGGGAGAGCACCATCCCATTCCAGATTCTAGCAACCTTTACTGTGAAGAAGTTATTTCTAATGTCCAACCTAAATCTGCTCTCTGTCAATTTATGGCCATTGTTCCTAGTTACTCCAGGGGGTGCCCTAGTAAATAGAGCATCTCCTATTCCCTGATGTCCTCTGATGAATTTATAGGCAACCACAAGATCACCTCTCAGCCTTCTCCTGCAAAGGCTGAAGAGATCTAAGTCCCTCAGTCTTTCCTCATAGGGCCTTGCCTACAGGCCTCTGACCATACGAGTGGCCCTCCTCTGAACCCTCTTAAGGTTCTCCAAATCCCTCTTGAAGTGCGGCACCCAGAACTGGACGCAGTACTCCAATTGCAGCCTGACCAGTGCCGCATAGAGGGGAAGCATCACCTGCCTGGACCTGTTCATCATGCATTAGCAGATGCATGATAAGGTGCGGTTAGCCTTTTTGATCGCTTTGTCACATAGATGACTTGTGTTCATCTTGAAGTCTACTATGACTCCAAGGTCCCTTTTCACTGCTGTGCTGCTGAGAAGGTCATCCCCTAACCTGTAAGTGTGTTGGTGGTTCTTTTGCCCAGGTGCAGCACTTTGCACTTGCCTTTGTTGAACTGCATCCTGTTTCGTTCTGCCCATTTTTCCAACTTGTCCACATCCACCTGGATCCATTCCCTACCCTCTGGTGTTAATGTTGGCCCATAATTTGCTGTCATCTGTGAACTTGGACAGGCTGCTCTCCATCCCCTCATCCAAGTCACTGATGAAGACATTGAATAGCACCAGTCCAAGGACCGAGCCTTGGAGGTCAATATTGACCCATCCACCACCACTCTCTGGGTGTGACCCTTAAGCCAATTTGCCACCCACCTGACCATGTAATCATCTGCATCACAGCCTATCAGTTTATTTATGAGAACAGAATGAGATATCATATCGAAGGCCTTCTTAAAGTCTAAGTAGATGACATCTACCTTGACTCCTGCATCTAAGCATTTTGTGACCTAGTCATAAGAAGAAACAAAGTTAGTCAGGCAGGATCTACCTGCAGTGAATCTGTGCTGATTTCCTTTCAGCATTATTTCCCCTGCTGGGCTCCCTTAATGATTTTTTCCAGAGTTTTCCCAAGGATAGAGGTGAGACTAACTGGCCTATAGTTTCCCAGTTCCTCACTCTTCCCCTTCTTGAAAATAGGGACCACATTGGGCCTTTTCCAGTCCTCTGAGACCTGACTGGAGCACCATGAGTGCTCGAAAAGCCATGCCAGAGGCTCTGCTATGACACTAGCCAATTCTTTCAGTTAGCCCTTGGATGAAGTTCATCCGGGCCCACTGATTTGAACACATCCAGCCCCTCCAAATGCCCTTTCACTAAGTCTTCACTAACAGTTGGTGGGCTGGTGTCCCTTGTGTGTCTGTCTATGATCCAACTGGGAAATTTGTCTTGGTCTGTCTAGGAATACAGATGCAAAAAACTCATTGAAGAACTCAGCTTTGTCCCCCCCTCTCTGTCACCAATTGCCCTAGTTTGTCCTGTAGGGGTCCTATACTACCCCGAGCCTTCCTTTTGCTCCCTATATACCCGAAGAAGGACTTTTTGTTGTCCTTAATTTTTGTTGCCAGCCTAAGCGCTAATCCTGCTTTGGCCTTCCTAACTGATTCCCTGCAAGTGCGAGCCAGGGAGGTATACTCCTCCTTGGTAGCTACCCCCTGTTTCCACAGCCTGTATACCTCTCTCTTTGCCCTTAGGCTTTCCTGGACTTCCCTGTTCAGCCAAGAGGGCTTCTTGGTCCCTTTGCCCCCCTTTTATGCACAATGGGATTGTCTCCTTCTGAGCCCATAGGATTGCTCCCTTAAGGAATGACCACCCTTCCTGGATCCCCATTTCGCCAATGTTCTTGAGATTTAACGCCTCACTAACTAATCCCCTGAGCACACTGAACTTGGCCTTTCTGAAGTCTAGCACTTCAACCCTGCTGGTTAGTTTACCCACCCTTCACTAGATAGTGAATTCAATCAATCGATGGTCACTATCCCCTAGGTTACCTTGTACCTGCAGATTCCCCACCAGGTCATCCCTTGTAGCTAACACCAAGTCCAGCAAGGCATTTCCCCTAGTGGGATTGTATACCTCCTGCATTAGGTGGAGGTCCTGTATGCAGGTTAAGAACCTATGCAAGCAGTTAGATTTGGCTGACTGCTCCTCCCAGCAGATGTCAGGGTAGTTTAGGTCACCCATGACAACCATATTTCTCAACCATACAGCCTCTGAGAGCTGTCTGGAGAATTCCAGGTCTAGCTCAACCTCCTGATGTGGCGGTCTATAGTAGACCTCCACTACCAAGTCCCTTTCCCCCTGACCCTCTTGTTTCCTGTCCCACAGTACCTTGGTTTGGCCCTCCTCTGATCCCATCTTGATTATAGAGGATGTATATTGTTCCTTAACATAGAGAGCAACCCCCCACCACCACCTTTTTCCCCACTCCTATCCCATCTGTACAACCTGTAACCCTCAATGGCTACTGCCCAATCGTGAGTAGGGTCCCACCAGGTTTCAGTTAGTCCAACCAGGTTGAGTTTTTGTTTACAAGCAGGAGTGCAAGTTCCTCCTGCTTGTTCCCCATGCTCCTAGCATTAGTTTAAAGACATTTAAGCCCCCTGATGTGTGCCCTTGGTACCCCCCTGTCCTGATGTCTATCAGGCCCCTTAGTGCTTACCTGGGCTGATCCAATGAACCTAGCTTATAGCTCTTCAGAGGAGATCAGCCAACCTGTAAGAGAACAGACTCTTACCTTTAGAAGAGAGATGAAGACCATTTCGTCCCAGGAC